ACTCACTAAATATACAGGTACAGATCCTACACAAAGACCACGAATACCAAAAATCAACATGTCAGAGGTAGTAGGAAAAACATTAAATTATGTAAACATTCACTTACTACCAAACTACATTTGTTCAATTTCTACACTCTCAGACATTCATACATTAGTTTATACTGGGGCAGTCACAGTAGTAACACACCGTGGTCTGAAAATACAATCGCAGACAGACACACACAAAACAATTCTATCACAAGCCTGCCTGGCCTAGAAACACAAATAAGTGACATTAGACAGCAATTAGGCAGGCTGGCACAATACACTAAAAACAACATAACACCCAAATTAAAAAAACAACTCAACATTTTCATGAACATCACAACACACACATTACAGAATACATCGATACACTAAAACAAAAACTCGCAGCCAAAGCACAGACTCAAACGATACAAAACATGTACACTACGAAAACAACAAAATAAATTATTCACAAACAATGAAAAACTTTTCTACAGACAAATCAGTACCAAAACAAACACTGATACACAGCACAGTGGCACACCAACACAAGAAGAACTCACAACTTATTGGTCTTCTCTTTGGTTCAATGCTGCTACACACAATGCTGATGCAGGCTGGATCGAGGAGGAGAACAGAAACCTGCACAACATACCAACTATGCCTTGTGCTGAAATAAACATACACGTCATCCACTACGCTGTTAACAGAACACACAACTGGAAGACACCTGGTGTGAACAACATTCACAATTTCTGGTACAAAAAGTTTACATCGCTGCACCAGGAACTAGCTAAACATCTAACACACATCATCATCAATCCACAAAACATGCCAAAATTTCTTACTCACCTACATGAAACCTAAAAACAACAACACCACAGACCCCACACAATACAGACCAATTACATGTCTTCCAACACTCTACAAATTATTGACATCCTGTATCACAAACAAAATATACAAACATGTTGAAGAACACGACATTCTTACAGAACAACAAAAAGGTTGCCGTAGAAATCATAGGGGATGCAAAGAACAGTTACTCATAGATTCAGTCATTTTATGGCAAGCACACAAACAACACAGAAACATACACATGGCATATATAGACTACAGAAAAGCATTCGACAGTGTTCCACACAGTTGGCTGCTACATATTCTACACATGTACAAAATACATCCATCACTCATTGCATTCTTCCAAAACACTATGCAGCACTGGAGAACAACACTCATCTCAGGGTTAGTAACACTTCCATACAAACAAACGAAATATTCATTAGGAGAGGAATTTTTCAAGGAGATTCCTTGAGTCCTCTCTGTTCTGCCTAGCCCTGAACCCATTATCCAACATGTTAAACAACACACAATATGGCTACAATATCAGACACGAAAAAACAACACAGTTTACGCTGTCACATCTCATGGACGACATAAAACTATATGCATCCACACAAAAACAACTTATCAGCAGTCCTACAAATCACACACTCATACACCAAGGACATACAAATGGAGTTTGGCTTAGACAAATGCAAAAAACTTCACATAGAAAAAGGAATCCTGTAGAAAGAAGATTTTGCACTTGGAAATGGAGATGTTATTGAATCCATGGAAGAGGGCGAGTTTTACAAGTATTTAGGATTCCAACAGGCCAAACTAACAGAACATACACAAATAAAGCAAAGATTAATTAAAGAATACCAAAGTAGGTTAAATGCCATTCTCAAAACACAGTTAAATGCAAAACACACAGTTAAAGCAATAAACACATATGACATCCCAGTACTCACATACCCTTTTGGAGTTATACATTGGACTCACACAGATCTTGAGCAACTCCAAATGAAAACAAGAACACTTACTAAGCATAAACAACATTGGACTCACACAGATCTTGAGCAACTCCAAAGGAAAACGAGAACAACACTTACTAAGCATAAACAACATCATCCTAAATCCGCCACAGAAAGATTAACCCTTCCACGTAAAGATGGTGGACGTGGCCTGATTGACATAGTTAACCTTCACTACAAACAAATACAGTCACTGCGAGAGTTTTTCTATAGGAAACAAGAAACATCACAGTTACATAAAGCAGTAACTCTAGCAGACTCAAATAACACACCACTAAACTTACACTCACATCATACATACAGACATCATGACACAACATATAAAAAGCACAGACACCATCAAGCAATCGTGGGCTCGAAAGGTATTCCACGGCAGGCATCCTGATGACCTGACCCAGGATTTTGTTCACAAAACTGCGTCAAACAGCTGGTTAGATCGGGGATGCCTCTTTGGGGAGACGGAAGGATTCATGATTGCCATACAGGATCGGGTCATAAACACTAAAAACTACAGAAAACACATACTCAAAGATACAACACTCACAAATGACACATGCAGAAAATGTCACATCATGCCAGAAACTATACAACACATCACTTCTGGTTGCAAGCTCTTGGCACAGACAGATTACTTACATAGACACAATCAAGTAGCAAATATAATACACCAAGAGCTTGCAAAGAAACACAAACTGGTAGACATTCACGAATCATACTACAAATACATTCCACAGACAGTATTGGAAAACAACACGCACAAACTACTACGACAGAGCCATAATCACAGATATAACAATTTACCACAACGGACCAGACATCACACTCATTGACAAACACAATAAAATCACATACATTATAGACATAGCCATTCCAAACATTCAAAATGTACAATACACATGCACTGAAAAAATTAGCAAGTACACAAAACTCGCCCAGGAAATAAGGCATCTGTGGAGGATGGATAGGGTGCTTATTGTACCTGTTGTTCTCTCCTGTACAGGTGTAATACCACACACACTACATAAAAGCCTGGGAACATTACAATTGAATAAAAATATATACATCACACTACAGAAGGCCACTATATTGAATACATGCCACATTGTTAGGAAATTCCTGAATACAGACACTGACACACTTATTTAATTTTAGTTCTTGGTTGCTAAGCCTTGACTCTGGTCCGGCATAGTACACAGCCACCGGTGTGTACCGAGTATAACCCACTAAACCCAACATAATAATAACAAAGATATTACTGTGGAAACCGTAATACTTCTTTTATAGATTTCATTATTGATAACGGGATGAACGCTTATACTGTATAAGCAAGAACATCTAATAGTCCTTCACAAACATTGTTTTTTCACCAATAAATTAAAATGAAAATATGTACAGACACATTAAATGCTAACTATAGACCAGTGTTTCTGACCTGTAACGAATCGTCGCCCCCTTCAACGTAGTGTCTCCCCCTTCAATAAAACCGTTACGTAGTATCGCCCCTTCACTGCAAAATTCGGATGCCCAGGGCCAAGGCTAACGCCAAATTCGTGCCGCATCGAATTTGGTTTCTAGGTGGCCGCATTCTAGTGACTAGAATAATGTTATTTGTTTAATTATTGTACGATATAACGAATAAAATATCTAATTATTCTTAATATAATGTTTTACTATATCGCCCAGAAAATTGTTTTTCGCCCCCAAAATATAAATTGTTACTAATCGCCCCCTGAACATGGAAAACGCCCACACGGGGGCGATATCGCCCCCGTTGAGAAACACTGCTATAGACGAACACACGGCGAAATCCATTCAATTATAGCAGTTGCGTTTATAAACTTATGTGACGTTTTAAACTGGCAATTTGCGCCTAATCTTCGAGTAGCCCCGAAAATACAAAGAATTAAAAGATGAACCTACTTGGTGTTGCGATAATTCGTATTCGATAAACATCCAAAGTAGCTCTTGATGTTCCACGACTTCTTTCCAATNTATCCGAAAAAATTCCAGTCAGCAAATTTAAATATTCGCTAGTGCTGTGGCGTTGCAATCTTTGGCTATGTCTTGGGCTACTCCAATATTTTTTTGGTTGATGTGTGTGTTTTAGCTGGCAGCGCTGGCACTTTTGTGTAGTGTTTTTCTGAGGACTGTATGTGGTGCCGAATCGAACGTTTTTGATACTAGATTAGCTTCTAAAGTATAATTTGTTTCTTTTTGTATTTTTCAATATATTTATTTTGTTTGTAAAAATTAAAAAAAATAATTTTTAACGATACAATAGCCACGATTATTATTTTAAAAAGTTTACGTTAGGCTTAACATCGACGAAAATTCAACGCGAAGCGACACGCAGCGGAGAAAAATTTCAACACGGGATAGGTTAATATATTTTTTCGTACATAATCGGTTATCCGAACAACCCCAGTCCCCAATTGATTCGGATAAACGACGCTCTACTGTACTTTCTTTCGTTTTTTATTTTCATTTTTACCATTTCATTTTCGTGGATGTCCCCGAGCGTACAGCCCATAAATCCGGCCCTGGTCTTGGTAATACGAATGCGCAACAAGAATTTTTTAATTTACAGGCTTTTACTGTAACTACGTGCCAAGTCAGAAGATTAGGCCTACAGTATATAACGCCCACCTACGTGAAACCTACGAACAACGATCGCCGATGGGAACATAAAAATGGCCGTAATTCAGAGGTCATTTTGTACGCATTTCAAAGGAAAACGTTGCTGAAAAAAGTGCTCGTCGTTCGCGGGTGGCTGTTGTTGGGAGATTGTACGGTCGAAATCCAATAATGACTTGGAAATTTTCATTATAGAAATGAGAGAAAAATTGTTTAAATATTTACGTAATTAATTAAAAAATGAGGAGAGATTTGGAACGGAGAAAGGATATCGTACCTTCTACATTTTACGTTTTTTTAATTTAATAGAGTATGCTAATTGTTTTCTTAGCTAATATTTTGTTACATTCGGTTTTGCTAAGCCAATTTTTTATTTATAGAAAAGAAGGCTATGTTTTATTTATTTATNTTATAAACTTATGTGACGTTTTAAACTGGCAATTTGCGCCTAATCTTCGAGTAGCCCCGAAAATACAAAGAATTAAAAGATGAACCTACTTGGTGTTGCGATAATTCGTATTCGATAAACATCCAAAGTAGCTCTTGATGTTCCACGACTTCTTTCCAATTGTCCTCGTCCACCGCGCTGCCACGATCTTCTCTCGTACCTAAATTTAATTTTAAGTAAATTTGTCCTTGGACGCTGGATCGGTGGGATCTGCCTTCTAACGGAAACCATTTGGCTAAACCGCAAGACGGGATGTCCTAAAATGCAGTAAATTTATAAAACTAGAAAACGACATAAATAAATAAAACAAGGTAATTATACTCACTTCTAGAGGAATGTTGACGCAACCGAGAAAGTCATCGATGCTCTCTCCCGCGCTGGTTCTGGCAGATTGGGCAATTTGTTTAAAATATCTAAAATAACAAAAGTGTTACATATATAGGTTGCTAACGGAGCTATTGTTTTTTGTATAATGTATAAAATGGTTACACGTACCGACCCAGGCCTTTCAAACCGGATATTTCGTTTAATTTTCGAGCAGCATCGAAAACCGACGATTCGTCATCGTGGTCCCTAAGGAGTAGGAAACGACAACATTAGTTCAATATTGTCCGAAGATTATCTTCGGCCATTCATTGAAATCTAACCGCAAAAAAGAAAAAACGTTCTATTTTCCTGATATTTAGACATAAATGTTCGTTCGGGATGCGCTTCTTTATTATCCAATGTACCGGACAAAAAAATTTGAGGATCTTTTTACTCTTTTCTCAGACAATAGTTGTTATATGAAAAAATATGTATATTGTGTTGTTTTCTCTAGTCTTACAACAACCTCAGCAAGTACTGTACTAACAATTTGTTGCCCATCTCGATCTTATGCACCGAACTGTACTGTACAGTACATCATAAAAATACCTCGAAGCAAAAGCTATATCGAAAGACGTCTCGTTTCGTTTGTATTCCTCTAGTTACATCACACATTTTCTCAACGAGCGTTCGGAATAAGGACGTATACTCAGAAATTCTCAGAATAAAACTTCGCCGTGATGTTTATATAAAACACAGAGAACGTGCAAATGTGATTTCCCATATTGCTAGATCATACATTGCCAATATTGCGCAGCCAGTATTATAAATAGAGCTGAAATTTACTACATTTCCAATATTTACTAGAGAGATCAGGCGACTTCTTTGTTTCCTTATCCGAATGAACGGAGCCTTTGCCCGGCAGTGGCTTCGTTTCTGCGCCATGAGAATTCTTTCAAATCTGCCCAAAAATGCTTGCAAGAACGCATATAACTCTCCTATATGCTCGATGGCAAAAACGTGTAAAAATAAAGAAAAGTATCTTTTTTAACTGGAATTTCTTTCCAAAAATATTCTGAAATTTCAATTCTCGTACATTGGTAAACGCGAGAACTCGTTTATTTGGTTTTAGTCTGGATTTGAATTACGGAAAATAATTGCAGTCTCGTTTACTCATCAAAAGTATATTAATATCGTATAAAATGAGCGAATTATTTTATAAATAATCATAATTTCCCGCTTTCATACAAATTTCTTATTTAATAGGTATAAAATGGACTATTGATAGCCTTCTTTCTGTCCCGACTTTTCGAGATAAGAAGTCAATAGAAATTTCATAAAACCTCACTTTGCTAATGGTTTATCGATTGCCTGAGACAACTTACATTGACGCGATGGCGATAATGAACAGACCTAATTCCAGCTTAAAGATGAGCGAGGACGATAGAGCGAATGATTCAGTCGCGGGTTAAGATGCGAAGGTAAACATTAGAAATGTTACAGCCGCGTCTTACCCTTGTCCATCTCCGAAGTTTTTATATCTATAGTTAGGCTACATTTTAATTTTAGGAACCTTTTTAAAAATTAAAGATTACAAAAAGAACTAAGTTGAATCTGAAGTTTCGCTTTCTAACCAGCAGAAAATCAATTGGGAGAATAAATTACTTGTGAAAAACTCGGGAATTGTATCAATTATTTTTAGGAAAAGATTATACAGTAATTGAAATGGTCCATCAGAATATAAAGGCCTACCGGTGGCTGTACGGATAAAACCAACGAGCGCGAGTAATGGTCACGTCTTTGCGTCTACCAATAGGTGGGTCGCGTGAATTTCTGGGGTTTTTTCACACGCCTAACACCTAAATAAGGATCAGTTTATAATAACGATAATACTAAATTACAAATGAAGCGCGATTTGGAAAGATAATGGAATAAGAGGATAATGTTTTTTTAAACACCGTTTCTAAGTACTGTATTTAAATGCCAGTTAACATGTGTTAAAGACGTTTTAGATAAAAATAATTTAACGTTAATAGAAGCCATAAAACAAAGCGGGTAATAATTGTACAAAATAAGTGGCTAAAGGATAAAGTAGTGATGAAAATTTTAGAAAATTGCCTGTAGACCCCAAAGGCATAATAGAGTATAATTTATTAATTCGCTTTTCTAATTCGAGTAAATTAAAACTAATTACGACGGAAGCGAAGAAATTTATATTAAATAATGGTAATATTGGAATAACGAAATTAAAACTGAAGTTAAAAGGCGTAAAGATGGTTAAAAAAGTGCGCATCTCTTGTGGACTTTCGAGGTTCGATCTTATAATTTGGAAAAATATTTAAAACAAGAATTAATTTTAGTAGAACATTCGATATACTCAATAAAAAATGTGGATGAAGCGGTTAATAAAGACTGATGAAAAACTGGCCTCTAAGTGTTAAACGAGTAAACCCCAAAAACTCCACGTGACCAGTTGGCGGGGGCCGAACCCACGATCCAGTATTTAGTGATTTAATTAACCCACTCCCGTCCGTTGTGTATAAAAATTATTGTTTCGTTTACAACAAGAGGATGGAATCTCGATGAGTCTATCATAGGTCCAAATCTGGTAGAATTAGTAAAGAAAAGAATAGATGAAAACAATTGGTTTAATAGATGATATAATATTAGTAATTAATTATGTACAGTGAATGACATTTTTTCAGTAAAATAGAACAAAACAAACTGCCTCCAAACAACCGTCACTCGCAATAATGGCTTTTGTTTTTTTTTTTCTTTTTTACTGTACGTAAAGTCATACTTATTTATTTTATCTAGTAATGATTGACCCAAATTTTTCTACGTTGTATAAGTTACAGTGAAAAAGGTCATTGAAGGAAAATAAAAAATGGTCGTTGTTCGAAAGTGGTCGTTATTGGAGGTTCGATTGTACTGTACATATAGGAAAAACTGATAGATTATTAAAAAGGTTGGTCTAGAAACTATTTGATACATTTTAAAATAGAAATGTCTGGTTAAATTGAGTATATAATTCTAGACACCGACAAGGATAAGTCAGAAGTCACATTGGAAGTACACGGCTTATCCGAGTATATTTTTAAACTGCAATTTAATTATTCACCGTCGTTTTGAATAAAGACGGATCTCGAACGAGTTTAAAGATGGGTAGAGATGTATCCCCGCTCTCCTTTAAGCTGTAATTAGGACAGTTTATTATTATTATCGAGTCAGTACACGTTGTATTTATACTGGCAAGCATCCGAAGAATAGATTTACTTTACACGGAATAAATATTAAATTAATAACGTTTATTACCAGATATCGAGATGAAGGCGATCGGAACGGATATCTTCAATGTCCCTTCAAATAAAAAGTAAGCAATAAGATTTTTAGATATTTCTTTTGTCTTTAAAATGCGGTAATTAGATTATTTACAGGCGGAAGGTTTCGTTCCATTTGGGACAAAGCGTTTGGGGCTTAACTGTCGTGGTTCTAATGAACTTGGCAGGAAGTGTGTCCGACAGACTGTTACTGCGATTCCTCTCTCTTCTTTTTAACGAAGCGCCAAATTTTCTCAACCTTCTCGGGCTTCCCTTGCTTTTCTCCGCCACTTCGTCTTCCCAACTGTATCTTCTTCCGTCTTCCGTTCCGCTTCCCGGTTGAATGCCTAACATGCAGTAAGGATCACTGTAACCTGAAATTAAATATCTCAGGTTGAACGCTTTTAAATTGTAAATAAACTTTTATAACAGTAATTGAAATTTTCTTTAAAATTAATATTTATTTCCGTTTAAAAATGGTTTAAATAATAAAATTTTATTTACGAACGAACGATTAAAAGTAGCATTTAATCATTCGGTCGTCAGCGTCGTTTTCCATCCGAACGAATAACGATTCTTGGTGGAACTTCACCGTCCCCAATTACGTGTCGGACGTACGAAAAAACTCAGAAAACTTCCCGCCAACCCAAGGCCGATAGCAATGTTTTCAACAATACGGTACGTCGACACGAGGGATAGAAAACAATAGCGATTTATTAAATCCCAGTTTTTACTGTTTACGATCAAATAAGTCACAAGTATTCTCGATTACTTCGTACGGTATGACCTTTCGAGGAAGATCAAAAGTTACGCGCGCCTTCGATCTTCGTCGTTCTGCCGAGTAGTTAATATTCGCACCGAAAACAATTTAATTCGAATGTTTTCCTTCGAAAAATATCCAATTCTTAACATACTAGAAAATTCAATACGAAACTCATAATATTAAAACAATTCCGAAGGTATTAATCAAAGCTTCGCATTATCGTTTATCAAATTATTTTATTTTTTGATACATATTATCGTAAATAAAATATGAACAGCGACGTCATTTTAAGGCTGGTTTGAAGAAATTTGTTAGAGACAAAGGCGATAAAGAACGAAAACAAAACGTTCTGTGCCGTTTAATTTCTAATTGGAGTTATCGTTAATAGATGGCGGCACGAAGAAGTAAGAAAATTAGTATATTTTCCGACGAAACGACGTTAAAAATGTCATTAGGCGAGTCGGTGCGACAATGCGATTATTTGCATTTTTAATAAAAGTACGCGCTTTCATTGTAAGTATTTGTTTTTTCAGATTTGATCCGTTCTTGCCAAAATCGAAATATTTTTTCTTCACTCGATTAAAGGGAAGGCGGATCGAACGATGTAATTACTACTTAAAAGAGGCGATGACCGGCTGCCTACTTTTTCACCAATTGTACCGCGCTTTCAAATATGCCGAAAAACTGGAATAAGCTACCGTCGATACGACGTTCGTTTTAAATTTACCAGAAGTATTTTGTATTGTACTGTACGTTAGAATATAAAGAGGTAAAACTTTCCTTCTGTCGCGACCGCCCCTACGTACGGTAGGTGTAGTTAAAACTGAAATAAAAGCGTACCACATACATTCTCTAGTGGCATAAATACAACAATACGTTTCTCGATAAATCTAATTGCGCCTAATGCGGACAAAGTAAAAAGAAATAGGGGTAAAAGATAGTGGGGGTCGAAAAATCTCGGGAAGTTTTGGGGTGGAGATACGTCGACCGGGAGCCGACATATTACAGTCAAATATATTGTATAAAATAATTTACCGAATTTAGGCGAAATCTACGATAAATTTATGAAAACGTCTAGCGATTCCGGTCTCGCGTCTGGCAACGACGACTGGTTATGAATAAATTAAATAAAGCGAATTACTCACCGTTAGGATCTTTAGCTTCCAGACCTTGAGCTTCTACCACAATCAAATTTAAAACCAGAATAGGAGGCTGAAAAAATAATAGAAATTAAATTATCGACGTCGTTTCCCATAAAAACTTTGGGATGGAAGCCTATTTACGATGCAACCCTTCCCCTTCGTTTCCAGGCTCGAACCCGGAATCAAACTTCTTACGAAGCGCGGTTTGGTCGGAAATTTAAATCTATTTTTTTCGAATAAGAGAAAATCCTAATCCGTAGTAATAACTTATATGTGTTATATATTTGTTTAAACAGAAGATTACGACGTTTAATAAGCTTAAATATTTAAAATAAAGCTTATATTGCGTATACATCGGTATACGTGTTATTAACGACAACGGATTAACGTCTGAATACGTCATAGCCTTTGTGACGATTTGGTAATTCGTCGCAACGAACAATTAGGTCGACCGTCCAGCGCTAAAACTCGCCCGTGGATGCTTTAACAGTTTCGAGTAGGAGTAAGTTGGTCCGAGGCGAGTAAGCCGGTGGCAGAAAGAGACTTTTTCCGGTTATTTATCGATAGAAACTAAGAGAGACCGGGGTTTATGGCAGTATTTATTTAGTTTAATGGGAAAGAAAGGTATTAGAAGCTTACCTGTTCTTCCTGAGCGATGGCAAATAGACGTTTGTGCGTCTCCTGGGACACGCAGAAAGCCTTTTGAGCGTAATCGTATAGATCCTCCGCGTAGACGGAATAATCGCCGCCGTTGGCCCCTATCTTGTGTTTGATGGTGTATAGCACTTCCACGTACAATTCGTCTTTCTGTATCAGAAAAAGAAGCCGCTTTTACCATTTCTCGCGTTACGCGTTACTTTGTGATAATTAAGAAATTTCATTCGATCGTTACGTTTAAAAATCGAAAATTACCGCGGAACATAACAGAGACGAAGAATCAAAGAAAAGTTGACGACTTAATTACGTAACAGCTGTAGCATTAATACATAAAATATTTACTTTCTTTTCTACAAATGCCTATTATTTTTTAAACAATTTTGACGGTTTCGTTTTTCCTCGTGTTTTTTGTATTTTTTCTATTTTATATTCAGCTGATTCAAACGTTTATTATAAAAATATGAAAGCATTTAGGATTCGTTAAGCACTCTTTAATCCCAAACTAAAATGTTCATTGATTCATCTACAAAAATTACCCCCTTAAGGACATCGAGATTTTTGATATTTTATAATCATTAATTTAATTAAACGTAAAAAATACTTAAAACTGAAAAAAACGAAAGAAATGCGTTTATTTTGAAGAAAAAGCTTCAAATTTTATTTTCCTTTGTCTCTCTTTCTGTGAAATATAACACCGATGAGTCATTGTTTACACAGCCCGATGACCTTGAACACAGCTGGAGTCGGATTTCCCGGGCCATTTTCATAGAAATCTCGGGAGGCGATGGGTTTATAGTAGGGTGACTGGAATTTGGCCGTANTATTGGAGGTCGTTTTTGACATCAGAAAGTAGCTTTAAATAACTTTACCGAAGGAAAATTGGTGCACTACTTTAGAACGATGAATGAAATTTGATATCAAACTCCCATTAAAAAACAATTAAAAAACAATAAAGCGTGAAGCGCGCGTCATTAAAGGTTTTTTAAAATCGCGATAAAATTTTTTCGCGCAGTCAAAAAATTTTGAAAAAATTTGGTAACCTAAAAAACATTCCAAAAATTTAAAAAAATTTGGGGGGGCCCAAACGCCCGCGGTTTTCGTAACGCTATGTAACTTGCCCGAGATATCTCGGGATATGGGCTTAAGGTGGTTTACGTAATACGTAATTACTCTCCACGCCTTGCTCGAGTTGGAAATCTGTGGCATTTTGGGCGGTTAATTGATACTCTCCAAGTTATCCAAAAAACAAAATGGCTGACAGTTCTGATTCCGGTATGGATGACGTTTATTTCGCTTCTTCATCTGGTTCACTGTCGCTCTTGGTCAGGGACGGACTTAATTATAAGTCCGTGCCTGACAAAGTTGTAGCGTTTTGTACAGTACATTTAATTTATACGGTGTTTATAAATGTAGTCAGCTGTAGTTTATTTTCTGAATCATTTCTCACTACGGTAGAGAGTCGGTTATCCGAAACGTCAGTTATCCGAAAAAATTCCAGTCAGCAAATTTAAATATTCGCTAGTGCTGTGGCGTTGCAATCTTTGGCTATGTCTTGGGCTACTCCAATATTTTTTTGGTTGATGTGTGTGTTTTAGCTGGCAGCGCTGGCACTTTTGTGTAGTGTTTTTCTGAGGACTGTATGTGGTGCCGAATCGAACGTTTTTGATACTAGATTAGCTTCTAAAGTATAATTTGTTTCTTTTTGTATTTTTCAATATATTTATTTTGTTTGTAAAAATTAAAAAAAATAATTTTTAACGATACAATAGCCACGATTATTATTTTAAAAAGTTTACGTTAGGCTTAACATCGACGAAAATTCAACGCGAAGCGACACGCAGCGGAGAAAAATTTCAACACGGGATAGGTTAATATATTTTTTCGTACATAATCGGTTATCCGAACAACCCCAGTCCCCAATTGATTCGGATAAACGACGCTCTACTGTACTTTCTTTCGTTTTTTATTTTCATTTTTACTATTTCATTTTCCTGGATGTCCCCGAGCGTACAGCCCATAAATCCGGCCCTGGTCTTGGTAATACGAATGCGCAACAAGAATTTTTTAATTTACAGGCTTTTACTGTAACTACGTGCCAAGTCAGAAGATTAGGCCTACAGTATATAACGCCCACCTACGTGAAACCTACGAACAACGATCGCCGATGGGAACATAAAAATGGCCGTAATTCAGAGGTCATTTTGTACGCATTTCAAAGGAAAACGTTGCTGAAAAAAGTGCTCGTCGTTCGCGGGTGGCTGTTGTTGGGAGATTGTACGGTCGAAATCCAATAATGACTTGGAAATTTTCATTATAGAAATGAGAGAAAAATTGTTTAAATATTTACGTAATTAATTAAAAAATGAGGAGAGATTTGGAACGGAGAAAGGATATCGTACCTTCTACATTTTACGTTTTTTTAATTTAATAGAGTATGCTAATTGTTTTCTTAGCTAATATTTTGTTACATTCGGTTTTGCTAAGCCAATTTTTTATTTATAGAAAAGAAGGCTATGTTTTATTTATTTATAGAAATAAAAAAGAGATATGGCTGTTTCTTTTTATATACTGTATATATATATATTCTCAAAACCCTTAGGAATTTTATATATTCTGTTACGCGAGTTTAAAGTTATTTTACAATTTCTAACATTAAAGAATAATTATATTTACAATGATAACTAGTGTTTTCCTACCTAGTTAATTATTAAACGGTGCGATATTCTTTTGTGGCTCTCTCTGAAGTTACATGAATTTTAACCATCTCAATCAATTTTATGTTAACCGGCATCATACTCAGAAAATAAGAAATCAATTGGCGATAAATAAAAATTCTAAAAATATAAACAAACCGAGGAAAGGGCCAGCGCTATTTTGTGCTTTGAATGAAAACAGAATAAATTTGAACATTAGCGATTCACAAAAACGAAAAATAAATATGAAGTGTTAAAATTAATCAAGTTCTATTAAATAAAAGTAAAAAAACCGTGATTGGCGTTACGATGATTGCGAGAAAATCATCTGTAGAATAAAAAACAAACCTTGTTTGGGTTAAATGTAAAAAAAAAAAACAAAAAATTAGTATAATTTATGGAAAGTTATCTAATGAAAGAGGAAGGCAAATCATTAGGGAAAAATTATAAAAAGAAAAGAAGAAAAGAAAAATAAGCGAATATGGCATCTTCCCCTTCGAGTTGGGGAGAGTCCCACCATACACGCTCATCTTTGCAATAATTGTTTAATTATAAATTAAATAATGCATTACAAATCCTCTTCGGGAGTGTAAATTCATCTTTCGAGAAACGTTAAAAACAAAGAAATCGTTCTAACTTTCGAATTTTTCTACAGAAACAACAGAAGAGATTCGTGCGAAAAAATGCATTTCTTACATAATTCAGAAATTTCTCGTAAACAACGAATTGTGATCATTTCAATAGTGCCGGCTTAAATCATTTAAGACTGATGCCAAATATATGAGTAATAATTTAATTTCTTTCCAAACAAACGAATATAAAAAGATGAATTGGATTGATAAAATAAGACAACGCCCGTACATGGGCCATCTACCAAGGAGTTGCCTCCAGAGATAACTTTCTATGGAAAACTTCCCCCGTTTAAGTGTTAGACACGAAAAAACAAAAACGCATCCTCTCGTAGCCAGCCTGTTGGTGGCACGTGAATCCGTGACCAAATTTCAGTGGTTTTATCCACCCGGCCACTGGTGAGTTATAAGATGCCATTAAATAATCCCGTCGTATCAGTTTACTAGTTTCTAGTGTTCGAAACTAAGAAGAAAAACTGTGTTTATGTTCCTTTATTGCCATTTTTATATCACTTGTTTTATTTTTGATTCTATCCTCTCTAAGGGCACTAAGAGGGCCTTTCGATCGTACCCATCATAGGTTTGGCCATGCCTACAATGGAGTCGGCCGATGACAACGTTTGGAATCCAACATATTCGGGATGGACCATTCTCCGGAGAATTCGTGAGTATTTTCGTTCCCCCGGATTTGATCCCGGAGTCCTCGAGAGGATAGGTTGACGCTGAAACCGCCTCGACCTCCGGCAACTTCGCTTCTGTTATCATAAATCAGTTGAAAGTATAGAGATTGAAGATCCTGTTGTGAAATCACATTAAACTCCTCCTAATTGAATATGGTTTATGTATTTTTAGCGGGGTTTGTTATCTTATTGTTATAAAGTTGGAAGAAGTCTATTGTCTACGTGATATCGCTTACATTTTGTAGATATATAAACATTTCATTTTAGTTTAACACTATCAAAATTTAAAAAAGAATGTTTATCATGTTATTTATACTTCGAAAGAATACGCAGTACACCCTGGCTTTAGCCAAGACTCTGGGGATCGGACGGAGACTGTCCGTTTAATTACCCATCAACCGGGGCTGCCCGCAAGGCTCCAAATCGGGGCCGCTCCTCTGGACGATCCTCTATAACAGCCTCCTCAACCTCAACGTTAGTTCTCAGACGGAGGGGAGCCCGCATATCCTTGTCACCATCGTGCTGCTTTCCCACCAAAATCAGGAGGTGCTTCAGGGGTACACCAACAAGTTCCTGGAAAAGGTTGAGAGCTGGAGCACAAGCCATAAGCTGATTATTAACCATGAAAAAAGTAGGTGCATGGTTTTCCCGAAGGATAACATCCTAAAGAAAAAGCCTACCATCAGGATTGGGGGCAGTAGGATTAAGTGCGAGGACAAGCTTCAGTACTTGGGGCTCACTTTGGACCCCAAGCTTACCTGGACCGATCATATTCACCAGGTGTACAATAAAGCCATCAAGGCTAATAATTCCCTTCGCAGCATCGCTCGGAACACCTGGGGGTTAAACCCCAGGAACTGTACCGTTATATATAAAGCAGTGGTCGAACCCATTCTCACGTATGGAGCCGAGGAATGGGGATACATCACCCTCAAAGTGCACCATAGGCGGAAACTTCTCTCTGCCCAAAGGGCTGCCCTGATTGCTATTACAAAGGCGTATCGGACCACCTCCGCCGATGCCTTACTGGCCATTGCAGGGCTCCTGCCGGTCCACCTTGTGGCCCTAGGAAAGTTTATCAAGAAGTCTCTCCTGCTACTGGAAAGGGGCGGGACCATGCCCACCCAGGTGCAGAACATCTTCACAAAATTGAAGTTTCCTGACTCTATCGAACACATCATGGAGGAGATTATCACGAACGGGATTGACTGGAACAATAGTCCTAAGGACCCCCACCCTGCCTGCTGCATTAAGAGCAACTTTTATATCGAGCCCGTCACCCCGAAACACGGGATTAACTTTTATACCGACGGCTCAAAGACCAACACTGAGGTGGGGGCTTCGATGGTCCTGGCGAACCCCCAAAGGGTGCTGCACTGGCAGGCGGCTTATAGCTTAAAGCCTCATTGCTCCATTGCGCAGGCGGAGTCGTACGCGATCCTCCGCGCCCTTCGGTTTATCAAGGATAATATGGACAAGTTTAAGAAGGTGGCCATCAACATTATTAGTGACAGTCGAACTGCCCTACATCAACTTAGGAAAGAAAACAGAAAATTGCCCATCGTGGAAGAAAGCCTGCAACTAATCAGTGACATTAACAGGTGCTCGGCCCTGAATTTCTTCTGGGTTCGGGGGCACTCAGGGGTGCCGGGGAATGACCGGGCCGACCTGGTCGCCAGGAAGGCTAACCGGATTGCCAGCAGCCACAGTTATGCGGCAATTCCCGTCTCTCACGTCTGGTCGGCCATCCACAAGGCCCTCATCAGGCTTTGGCAGAAGGAATGGGACACCAGCAAAACTGGGAGAGTGACCCATAACTTCATCCCCAACATCGGGAACAGGATAAAGAACCGGCATTTTTCCACGGATCACTCCCTCACCCAGCTGCTGTCGGCCCATGGGAACTTTGGCTCTTACCTGCGGAGGTTCCTGGGTAAGGGCGACGGGCTCTGTGGCTGTGGGATGGGGGAGGATGATGTTCCTTTCCATCTTATCTTCGTCTGCAGTGACCTAGCAGCCCACAGGAAACCTCTCAGGGACACGGCCCTCACCGAGGGTCTCTACTGGCCCTGCCATCTTCAGGACTTTATCGAGAATAAAAGACTCTTTGCTGACTTTAAGAACTTTGCGGGGAGTATCCCCCAGCTGCAAGGGTTGTGGACAACCCGCCAATTTTCCAGCGGGCAAACATCCTCAACAGTAACCGACTCTCGGCACTACGCTCTTTTTCTACCAGCGCCAGCGGCCTGTTCGGCATGTTCATCAACTATGTACGCTCTGTCATCTTTTGTATCTCTGTTTTATTTTAAATAATTGCAGCGCCAGGCGCTCATGACTCCCTTCACCAACTTTCCTATCTACTTTACACTTCCCCTTACCTCCTACTCTCTCCTCACCCTTTCCATTTGTCCTTCCTCCCGTGCAATACCGCCGAGTAGCACGGGTTTCATCCCCTTTCACTAACGATGTAACGATGTCCGTTTAATTAACCCTTAAGCCCATATCCCGAGTTAACTCGGGCATGGACTTTAAGTTTCCATTAAAAAGAATTGACTTATAACTTTTCCGAAAATGTATGGATCAGCATATACACATCATTATCTATGATCCGTGCAAATTTCATGAATTATTTTTGCCGCAAAAATATTTTATGATGATTTATCAATTAGGTAATTAATCGCGCTATTGTTTTTTTATGGGAGTTTTTTAATCAAATCGTTCTAAACTTCTATTTTACCGATTTGACTTCGGTAAAATTTTTAAAACGCTATTGGATGTTTATGACATCAGCAGGTTTTTTTGCTTTTTGTTCAGTAGAATTTTTCCCCCATACCTTTTTTTCGGTCCCCTCGTAATTTAATAGCATTAAAATCGACAATATTGTGTTATATTTGAACAGATGCGTTAAGTTAGCTCCCCTCCCGCTTTAGACCAATATTCCCCTGAAGCGTATATGAGAACTACCCGGGAAAGCGGACTCCAGCTGTTCCCGAGGTCAACCAGTTTGTAAACAATGTAGACTGCACGTGTAAAATTTTACGCCTTGTTAAACGAAAGAATAACAATTCCTTACAGCTATATTTCTCAAATAAAAGCATTTATTTTCAATTATTTTTATTTTTTTATATACTTTTTTNGAAACTAAGAGAGACCGGGGTTTATGGCAGTATTTATTTAGTTTAATGGGAAAGAAAGGTATTAGAAGCTTACCTGTTCTTCCTGAGCGATGGCAAATAGACGTTTGTGCGTCTCCTGGGACACGCAGAAAGCCTTTTGAGCGTAATCGTATAGATCCTCCGCGTAGACGGAATAATCGCCGCCGTTGGCCCCTATCTTGTGTTTGATGGTGTATAGCACTTCCACGTACAATTCGTCTTTCTGTATCAGAAAAAGAAGCCGCTTTTACCATTTCTCGCGTTACGCGTTACTTTGTGATAATTAAGAAATTTCATTCGATCGTTACGTTTAAAAATCGAAAATTACCGCGGAACATAACAGAGACGAAGAATCAAAGAAAAGTTGACGACTTAATTACGTAACAGCTGTAGCATTAATACATAAAATATTTACTTTCTTTTCTACAAATGCCTATTATTTTTTAAACAATTTTGACGGTTTCGTTTTTCCTCGTGTTTTTTGTATTTTTTCTATTTTATATTCAGCTGATTCAAACGTTTATTATAAAAATATGAAAGCATTTAGGATTCGTTAAGCACTCTTTAATCCCAAACTAAAATGTTCATTGATTCATCTACAAAAATTACCCCCTTAAGGACATCGAGATTTTTGATATTTTATAATCATTAATTTAATTAAACGTAAAAAATACTTAAAACTGAAAAAAACGAAAGAAATGCGTTTATTTTGAAGAAAAAGCTTCAAATTTTATTTTCCTTTGTCTCTCTTTCTGTGAAATATAACACCGATGAGTCATTGTTTACACAGCCCGATGACCTTGAACACAGCTGGAGTCGGATTTCCCGGGCCATTTTCATAGAAATCTCGGGAGGCGATGGGTTTATAGTAGGGTGACTGGAATTTGGCCGTATATTTTTAAATATTTTTAAAAAATTAAAATTTTTATTGCTATTTCCGACCCCTCGGCTTAATTAAACTTATATATAACTAGCTGTTACCCGCGACTTCGTCAGCGGAGGTTTTGCAAGCAAACCCCATTTACATCCAATATTTCAATAACCATAGTAATTGTTATATAACACCTACCGCTGAAGAGAATTGCCGAAAATCAAACGAACTATTTTCAATTTGATCAATTTTCTGAAACGTTTACAATCGTTCTATAATCGAACCAATACGCAATAACAAATTCGAATTTAAAAC